TGCTACAATTAGTATCACGATTGTCTTTATAAAAGAAGTTGCTGAAGTTGAAAACAATTATTAGAAATGAGGAAACATTAACTATAGAAATACATTTTTACAAGATTACCACACTAACTAATAGACAGATCTCATTAACGAATAAATTCATGCGAACATTGATGTTAAAATCGGTAGATTTTAATTCAGACATATATTTACATACACAACTTGAAAGTCTATTGCTTAACGATAAAATAGACAAAGGACAGTATTCACGCATATAAGAAATAACAATAAGGTAAGAAGGGTACATTCACTAGGGATGTCATTGTCACTCCAAATTTCTTTTTCTGACAAATATATCTGAGATGTAATCGAAAAGTAAACATTTTGCAACATTTACTTGTTGTCATAGAGATATCAAAGACAATGTATTCACTATTTTGCAGGCAAATTTAAAAAACCTTTACCCCCATGGGTGGAACGTTTGCTCTCCTTATTTCACATACACATTGTGTTATAAATGTCGATGGCTACAATGGCAATATTGCTTAAATTGCAATTCCAATAATTCCACTTCTTTCCTTGTTGACCATCAGAGATTACGATCGAGTAATGAGGCCATTGCTGAGACAGCTGAAGTGTGCTGTGCAATTCACGGCAAATTGTTCCATAAAAGAGCCGTTGAAGTGTTGAAGAAGCGTTAAACTGAATGCATTACACTTAGAGGGGAGACTATATTCAGGAATAAAATCGACCTTTGCAAAAAAAAACATTTGATTTCTCAATTAGTCTTGGCCGATGTGTTCTAAATATTGTTGGCTTTTTAGATACCTTGAGTTTTCATTAGATGCCCGAAAAGCCCCATTTAAAATTTAGTTTTGTTTTGAGCATTTTGAAGACAGAAAAAGTACAGTTAGATATGGCCACGCATAAATCTATTCTAAATTTGATAAAATATATTACTGAGTTTAATACAAGATCGAACTTCTGGAAAGTGATTTGCATCAGCAACTTTTTCACATGTAAATATGTACGAAGTATAATGTGTCATATACGAAGTGAAAGACGAAATTCATGATGATAACTCACACATTGTTCATGTTTGAAGGTTAAGTTTTAATTAAGCATTCAGTATGAAAGAAAAATGCGATGGATTTTTTCCTCGTTTTATTAAAAAGAAAAAAGAATTGGAAAGAGAATCAATTCTGGACGACTAAGGCGCTGAATTAAATGACTATCGGCTATCTGTCGATGAGATTAGTATCTACTACAAACTACTACAAACACGGAATTCATTTACGCATAAGAAGCGAATGCACAACTATGTAGGAAGGATATGCAATAGAGGGTTGCATAAGTATTCAATCGCACCTTAATATAACTTAACCGCCTAAAAGAAGCACAGATTCGCCCTCTGCCGCCAACGAAACGGAGAAGTTGCGCTTAACAATATGTCAAATGGAGAATTGTGTACCGCTTTTGTATAACTGTCCTGAAAAAAATCTTGAAACTTATACTTACACCTAATTTATTGGAAATCCATAGCGATTCAATTACAGAGATCACATAATTATTACATAATAAGTGTTATAAGGAAGCAAAAAAAGAGTCATCTATGTAAAGAAGGACGTTTCACATAGATAGAAAGGGTCCGTTTCTTTACAATTATGTCCTTTGCTGCTCAGCTTCTTCGGTATTCTTATTCATCCTTAGAGACGCCCGCATACTGCATAATCCGTTACTGCGAGTCATCGTTATTTAACCAAACCATCTTACTTTTGAGCAACCGTTAACGGTAGTGATTTTCCTCGCTGTTTCATACATTTTCAATTCGAAGGTACACAAATAGTCCTGCCTGCTTCCAAATCTCTACCGTGACCACATATATAAGAAGCCATCCCTGCGTGACTTGCATAGACATACCTACAAAGACACACTTTTGTTTTGAGAAAATGGTAAGCAAAGAAGAATTCTGACGTCAATCTTCTTAGATAGGAATATTTGTACCATGGAACATATTAAATAAAAGTATTCAGAGATAGAAATAGCACGCAATAGCCCGGTAACTTGATGATGGAGTTTCAGAACGCGACGGCATAAGAAATTTTAAGTCGTCTTATCATCGAACCATCTTATGATTACGCATCTGTTGACAAGCAATTGCTTCTTGGGAATTATTATGTGATATCTTAACAATTCTTAGGCTGTTGTTACACGGGGTAACGATTGCAATCTGAACTACAGGGAACGATTTATGTCATTCAACATTAAATAGAGAAAAATTGAAAGGCGGATAAATAAAATTTCTTTTAAGCACAGCTTGTTAGTTGTGGTTAATCGCTTTCAATCAGCTCTTGCTTCTATATATTACTTTGTTTATGATTCGTCTACCATCTCACCAGAATATCTGCTTTCTCTAAGGTGGCCAATGGCCGGTTGGATTTATCCAAGTCTTCAAATTCAATTTGGAACTTGTCGAGCAATTTTTTTTTTTTTTAACTATGGATGACTCTCTTGAAAAGTGTTTTATGTAGTACTCTTGAGGGCAGTAAAAGTCGCTTAATTTGCAAGAATATAGAATTAGTATGAACTGGACGTATATGGTAAACCTCTAAGCTATTTAAAGCCATATCTGTGTAAACTATGGCTGATGGAAATTAAGCACCCCTTACAAAGTTTTCAATTAAAATTTGTATTGCATCAGTTTATGAAAGAAAAAAAACTGTAATGCATGACTTTTCAGTTGAGCGACCCATAGGCCGCTCTTACTAAATTATTTCAAATTTATGTTTGAATTCAAATTTATGTTGAAATTTAAAAGTAAACAAAGAAATTCATTTTTCACTGTGAATTACTTAAAAGGAATTTCAATATTAATTACTTGCATTATTCCCATCTCAATAAACTTATTACTTATCACCAAATATTCAAAATCTTTCGAATAATTATTTTCTAACATATTTATTTCTAATGTACTAAATATATATACAAGTTCTACAAACATGTTTACACATACACACATGTAAACAAACAATGTTAGGGCAAGTTTGAAGGATTTATTTGACCTAAGGCGAAACTTGGATACCCATCACCTTAAAGAAATCGTTGAGTTTTTTAATCATTAGGGATCTATTTGAGATTGTTTTCACGCTATAATCAGAATATGTGTCAAACTGATTTCTCTTTTAACTACAAATAATGTATTTTAAGATTTTTAATTTCTTCCCAACTTGTTTGGGGTTTTTGTTCGGCCCTTTCAGATTAATTTTTTTTGGATTTTTTTATAAAAATAGGTCTTCTAAACCATGAGACAGGGCATGTTAGACATGTTTTGTGTTAGAAGTCTGGAATATAGATATTAATAATAACGATGGGGCGGAGAGACGAAACGACCGACAAAAAAAGACAGACGAAATTGGCATGAAATTTTTCTTTAGGAATTTAAACTATTCCTACGCTTAAGTATTTTGCTCTATTGGTTGTCAGGATCCATATATTCTTTTATATATATATATATATATATACATATTTCATTATTCTATTTGTGTTGTTGACAAGATTCATATACATTTTAACTAATAACGTATGTACTTTAACTAAAAATGTATGTCTGTCTATCCGTTCGTGTGTGTGTGTGTTTATGAATTAGTGTACATTCTTCTCTCAATTTATCTTTGGTTGCTTATTATTTATGTGTGTTAATTGTGCATGTGCATGTGCATACGCATATGTTTGCCTATAATTTTAATTAACCTTATTATACACTTACTAAACTTAGTTTCCTTTGGAATTGCATTCTTCGTCTATTTGCTGTCGTTTTTAGTATTTTGTCTTAAATATCAATAACTACAAATAATTCTATAATTGTGTTTGTGTATGTGTCTGTATTATTTTATAAATTTTATGATATTTTATTATTATTAGGAATCAATGGCCCTTCGTTTTAATTCATTTAATTATTAATTTTATGGCTTTTTTGCTTTTTGTGTTTGCTTTTAGAAAATTAATTTTTTTTGTTTTTGTTTATATTCTTATTATTATTTAGTTATTTTTTTTACTTTAACTTACGTTGAAAAGTTTAACATTATATAATATACATGAATTTTTTTGTTTTGTGTCGCTTATCAAATTAAATATGGAGCACATTTATTTTATAAAATTGGTTGTTTCCGGTTTTCCTCTCCCGTTATCTGTCCCAAGAACAAAGTTAACAATAACAGTAAAATATAAACTTTATAAAATGTACATGAGATTTACATAATTTTAATACAAAATATTTCATACATATTTACATATATTTAAATAAGTAATGGTCGTTAGTCTAAAAGTTAACATAACTTACGATTATCAAAGCGAAATGCTAAACAAAGGCAACGCGATCGCTGCAAATGATATAAGAAATAATTTTTCGCTTGAACTGCTTAATGCACTGGCTTGACATAGAAGATCCTCTGGAAATATTTCCAGTATAGGCAATTGTTTGCCCGACGTCGGATCATGACATGTATTGGCTCGAGCACGCTGCATAATAAAAGCATATGAAAATAAAATTTTAATCGCTTTCTTTCAATTATTCAATTATTTAATTTTTTAATTTATTAATATATATAAAAAAACGCAAAGAAACTAGAAAAACGCTTACGCGTAAATCTCTGGGCGAAAGGGGAAGCTTTCCAAAATAAAAATGAAATTTAGAAATTATTATAAGTGTTTTATAATTTTAATAACTAAAGTAAATAATAAGAGATACATAAATTCAAAATCAAATTTCAAATATAATTTTATTAATGAGAAATTGTACTTAACTAAGGAACAAGACAGTTTAAATTAGGCCGAAGTTGACTCTCTGAACCATGAACTATTTACTTTCCGAGTACCTTAAAGTCGCTTTACATTAAAATGGCTTAAGCTTTAGCTATAACCGCAGCATGGAGATATGCAAATTTAGTGTTTCTATTCACTGAAATGATCGTTTCGCACAATTCCCCAAAACAAATAATTACTTAACAGGAGTGAATTTATCCATGTGTCAATATACATATTTATCTATCGCTTTGTCTCTTCATCCACTATTCGATCCATTCCAGCAATCTAACTCCAATGATAGGATTATCTATATTTTTCTTCTTCAATTACTCTATAAGCAGCTTTTTCCGTTCCATTCTTAACTTAATTATTCGTCGGTCAATCAATCTCACCTATATATGTTGCGTTTTCCACCTCTTTGTCTACGTTCCGTTTGTAAACTCGTAGTAAAAAACTTAAGTAATTTCGAAAACAACAAGTCTTTGTATGCAAATTATATACAGATTTAATTTGCATGAAAATCCTTTTATTGGGTCCGAAAAACAAACCCACACGGTCCAAGCTTCCTAAAGTCTATATGTGTATCAAATGGATTAATCCAATTATGGATTTATCTTTATGATAAAGTATTAACATCTACGTCGTCTTAGTACATAAGGATGAATTTTCTCTAGAAATGAGTATACAGGAGTGGGCTTAAAAAAAAAACCTAACTAACCTAAATTTTTGACACTAATTAATTATAGCTTAATACTGTTAACGATTTTTATAGGTTAATTTCTGAAAACCAGGATTTTTTTATCACATCCCGAATTTCGTTGAAATATTTGAAAAATTGCGAACTGTAGTTAAACATAAAAATGTCTAAACAGACTTGAGAAAGATAGACAAGCTTAAATCGTTTCAAAAAATCTACACAACTCGGAGCACATAAAAATTTATACTTGCCAAACGCAAAGTTCTCCATAATTTCGTCTGTACTCACGTCCAAGCACCCACCTAACCGTTCGCCCGCTTAACCCTCCATTCTTCGATTGGTTAAATTGGTCAAATTTTTCTTGAACTATCAATGTGCTTATCAATAACTCAGCGGTCCATATAAATCTCTAATTGCCCCTTCAAGCCCACCATCTACCTATTTGCGGACAGTGTCATACATTTCTTGTTTTGTCTGCCTCTTAATTAAATTATTTACCTACTTTTAAGTTGCTGTAGTGGTTCACAAATACATTTTACGGCAAATTCTACAGATTGAACTCAAAATAAGAGACAAAGCGTCTGATAACCTCGAAAGCAGCCGAACATATCAAACGATATTTCAATTTGTATGCTTAAATGAAAACGTAACCAATCTTAAATTCGAAATACATATCTTGAAGGAGTTTTAGGAAAATTCAATTGAAAACTGATCGACTTTGTATGTTTGCATTTAGGTATCATTAAGGCGAAAAATCAGTCTTCTTATTGTTTAATTTAGAGATGTGTTAATGGCGCTAAGGTGTTGTGCAAAAATTTGTGAAATTTTTATGTAAAAAGGAGGAGGTAAACAATTCGCATTAGTTTGCTCATTTCGGCAACGAAGTATTTTTCACTAAGTTTTCATGCGAACATGTGATTGATAATTTTCAATATGTGCTTATAATGACGAGAGAATAATAATCGCTAGTCTTAGTACTTTCTTCTTGTTCACATAGCTTTGTTTCGTCGATATTCTCTGCGGGAGTATTAACCGGGTTGATGTTGAATCCGTTTTTCTGTTGCAAAGTTTTATTCTCGGAGAAGGTCAAGAGATAGATGTATACAGACTTTAAGAGCACATTATTAAGTTCGGTAATAATACTTGTCTCTACATTACCCAAAAATGCTTGCTTGTGGCTCCCCTTATTATCCCCCATTAAGGAACTTTAAGATCGGCTTTATCTCAAATTTTCTTTACTCTATGACGAGTGTTTATGTCTATGCATTATATCTTAGACACATAGAAACTAAGGGCGTTTAAGGGCAAAGAGTTTATGCCAAACTGTCCGTTCGGGTAAGTCTCTATTGCTTCACATGTGATAACAAAGTTTGATATATTTTTAATTATTTTTTTTTTTCTTTAAATTTTTTTTCATTTTATTCCTGTCGCTGATATTTTAAAACATTGTTCAAAAATACTTTTTGAAATTTAAAGGAATAAAAAAAAAAGAAGAAAAATTGATAAAAAAAAAAAAGAATAACCTTTGTGTGTATTTTCTGTACTCACCTGCACCATTTTCTTCATGTCATCTTTTTGTATGACTTTTATTTGTGCTGATTCGCGTAACCAACGCCTCAGCCAATGACCAAACCACACAAGACCGCATTCACACTCTAGCGGATTATGTGATGTATCTAAGCCGCCAATTATGCTACGCGTTCCCACCGTATCCCAGTAAGTTTTGTTTGGGTAAAAACTATCTGCTGCTAAAGCATTAATTTTGTTATGCGATATGTCTATGGAAAGTTGAGGGACAGATCGCAATGTATAAAAAATACCGGGTGGCAAGTCACTGATTTTCGTATGTGAGATTTTCACTTGTAAACGTTGATTGCTTGCCAAGCCCACAAGAGCGTCAGACGCTATGGTCTGAACATTTGATCCATAAATTTCTACCAACTGTAATTTTGTATTATTTGCTAATTTGTTCAGCAGCTGAGAACCAATATTAGGCTCCGTACAATGTATATGCAATTCTTGTAAGCCTGGTAAGCGCGAAACTATTTCACCCAAATTAGAATGTGAAGTTAACGTAAGTTTCCTCAGGGAACGTAGCTTAGTGAAACCCAAAGGATTCATAATTTTCACATCCAATAAATTCAATTCCATTAAATGTCTCAACGAGATCAAATCATGCACAGTGATACGTCTTAAGGGATTATGGGCCATATCCAAAACACGTACAGTATTGGGTAAATGTTCCACGGCGCAGGAGGTATTTACAAGTTTATTATGCGATACGTTAACGTGACGTAATTGACGCATTTCGTGCAGTGGCGAGAGCTCTTGCAAAAAATTACCGCTTACATCCAAATGAGAAAGTAGAGGCAGGTGTAGTTGAGGCAGTACGTATAAACCCATATTGTAAATTTTTAATCTTCTTAGGCGAGGTGTATGCAAAAAGATCTCCTTGAGATTGGTTGTAACCAAAGGATTATTAGATAAATCCAAATTCGTAAGATTGTTAAGGAAAGTGAAGGTGTTATCCGGCAATACAGTTAATCGATTGCTCGATAAATTAATATCATACAGGAACTGAGAATTAATAAACATGCTAGAGTCTAAATATTCTAACATATTAGTGGATATTTGTATGCTACGCAAAGTGAAGCCAACATCAGAAAAGGCTGGCACTGGCCATACAGTTAGCTGATTATCCGATATATCTAAATACTCTAAACGAGTATTCATGAATACTTCTCGGGGCAAGGCTCTTAGTTTATTGGATCTAATCTTTAATATGCGTAGCTTACGTAAATTCGAAAATTGTTCCACTTGCAATTGATCCAAACCATTATAACTCAAATCCAATTCTTGCAAACTATTTAATCCTTGAAAACTTCTCCTTCTTAGCGATGTGATATTATTATAAGATAAGTTAAGTATCTCCAAAAATTCCAGATCACCGAAGGCATGATTACCCAAATTCTGCAGATTATTATGCGCAAGATTGAGAAATCTCAAGGTATTGGCCAAATTTGCAAAACTGTCCGATTTGCTTATCAAATTGTGTGCGACATCCAGTTGATATATATACATATAGGAACTTAAATGATCCTCAAATTGAGTAATACGATTGTGGGAGGCATTCAATTTTAAAGGCGTGCTGCTATTTGAAACGTAATGAAAAGTCCTTAAGGACAGAGAGCATAAATTATTGTGCGTCAATTCCAGAACGGCAAGATTCGGTAAAATAGTAAAAGCCTGATACGAAATATTTGTCAAGCGGTTATAGGACAAGTCAATGTACCGAAGAAACTCTAGATTGTAGAAGGCTTGCTTATCAATAAAACGTAATTTATTCGATTGTAAGTTCAAGGTTTGCAGATCACCCAAATCATGAAATGCTTTGCCGGGTATTCTCTCCAGTGAATTGTAGGATAAATCTATTTCTACTAAGTGGCTGTGCACTTCCGGTATAAATATTCCCCGAGGCAGCTGTTTCAATTGATTAAAACTTAGATTAATATAGGATAGCTCACGCATATTGGAAAACGATTCATTATTTATCACTTTCAAATTATTGTTGTCCAATCCCAGCCACATTAGCTGCGAAAGAGGAAATAGCGAATCTAAAGGATCTATGGATTCTAGACTACGTACCGGGAATACAGCAAACGATAATTCCAAGATTTTTAAGGTCTTTGAGACATTTTCAAATACCATCGGATGATGTATGGTTATGTCATTGAAACTTAAACTGATTTCCTGTATTTGCTCGAGACCGGCAAACGAACCCAAATGCAAATGAGTGATTTTGTTATTTCTCAGCAAAATTGTTTGCAAATTTGATCCCCAGCTATCCACTGCAAAAATGCCTTCCGGTATATCACTGATTGAATTATACCCCATATTGAGATAAGATAGATTCGTGTAATTCTTCAAACCCAATACTGGTATCATTGTGAAATTATTGCCACTCAAAGACAAAACGCGTAAGTTGTCAGTATATTCGGGCAGATTAGTTAGTTGATGAATAGCATTCGAAGTTAAATATAAATATTTCAATTTATTTAAATTCCTTATAGCTCCCGGTACGGCATTCAAATAATTTCTTTCCAAATCCAAATACTCTAAGGTATCCGTAATGCCATCAAAAGCATTCAAATGAATGCGTTCAATCATATTGAATGCCAACACTAAATGGACGATACCTATACTTTGAAACACTCCTTCCGGCAGTTGACGTACGTAGTTCTTTTCTAAGTTTAAAGCTCTTATATGAATGTCAGAATGATTGCATTGAAAAGAGTCTGTATCCAGTACTTCAATTACGTTTTGTCCTAAATCGAGTTTCTCTAAATGCATACGTATTTGCCGTCCTTCTTTACTCTGAACAGTTTTTAGCAAATTATCTCTTAGCGAGATGATGCGCAATTCAAATAAATGTTCAAATAGTTGATGTGGAAATATGGCTAATAAATTCCCCGATAAATCGATGGTAATTAAGCTGCGCGGCAAAAAATTAGGAGATATATGGTATATGCGATTATTTGATAAATCCAACCAAAGCAACTTTTGCAAACGATTGAAGGGTTTCCCTCGGTCATGCAATGAGTTACCAACGTGCACAGCAGTAAGTCCTGGTATTGAATTTGCCGTAATGTGTGTGATAACTTTATAGGAATTTTCCTCTTTAGTTATTGTTTGTATAGCTGCAGAGGAGGGATGACTGGAGCCACTAAATCCATTTGAGGAATCATGCAAATTGTTCGGTGATATTTCGGTGATATCGTTGCCAGCCAGATGCAAAGAACGCAATGTATCATATTGCGCCTCCCAATTAACATCCAATGAGGTGATGTGATTCCTTCAAAACAAAGGCAGCAAATTGTGAAACCAAAGAATACATGAAAGAGAAGAACGAGAAGAAAAAAGAGGAAAGACAATGGAAATGAAAACAAATGAAAAATGAATTGGAGCTCGAGTAATGGATATGTACTTAATAAACATGGCCATGTGCATGAAATTTTATGATAGACTAGTTTTTGTTTTCAATTTTCAAAAAAAAAAAAAAAAAATTCAGAACAAAAAGCAATACGAAAAAGAAAATTTTTTTTTTTCATTATTTGGTCCTTACCTTTGCGCTACAAGTCTGGTAAGAGAGTGCAATTTTTGTAAAGCTTCAAACGGTATTTGTTGCATTTTATTTCCTGATATATCCAGAGTCATTAAACTATGTGTCATAGTACTACAAATATTAACATGTATAAGCAAGATTTGATATTAATACAAAATTTATACATAGGTTCGTTTTTTAAATCTTTTAAAGTGCTTGTAAAAAACCGTATCAATAAATTTGTATACATTTAATTGTAATCCAGATAAACAAGAGAAGAGGAAGAAACTCTACGTAAAGGTAGTAGTTTAAAAGTCAACGATTGGTAGTAAAACGTAATTTAGTGCAAGTGTTCCATATATGATATTAAAAACTGAATGTAGCTTTCATACTACGCTTTGCTTTAAATTGTAATATGCGCCGCTTGAGAAGAATCTTCAAATATCATATTGAAATTTATATAAGAATTTTTAAATTTTGCGAAAAAGCCCTTATTTCAATTGAAAAACGAAACGCAAAAGATAGATAGATAACCTACTAAAATGATTCCACGTTAACGAACTGCAAGGGGAAGTGAGTGATTTATTTCGATCTACACTCGTAACAAGAGTATGATAAACCGGTAATGATTGTATTCTTTCGCGGATGCACTCAAAAGATTGAATGAAGCCTTTCAACCACGGAATTTGTATTTTGTCAGAAAAATGCAACAGAGAAGAACTAATGATGGTGAAGACTTTGGGTAATAAATTTTTGGACGGTCCAATTTTCACAAGAAAATGTTTTCAATAAACGTACAAACGATTTTTGTATTTTTTTTTTTTTTGCTATTTTGGCACATATGCCTCCAACGTATGTTGACACTGTTAGCCATTTTGCATTTTTAATTCGATAATGTAACAAAACAATTAACACTAAAATATAATATAGATTTCCGATATAAGTTTAGAATTTCGCTAATTATTTAGAATAAATCTATAGAAATTGCTTTGATCAATTTTTTTTTATTTTTATATAAATCAGACGTCGTTCAACAATTTCTGCGGCTATCTAAGGAAAGAACATGTTTTCTTTTTTAATATCCGAGTTCATCCATCAAAATAGTCTTCTTGTTAGTGGCGCCTTCTAGGTGTCATCTTATGCTCTTCTACCAGATCGAGACCTTTTTTATAGAATAATTCGTCAAACTACTCATCAGTTTCCGATATGATTTCTTCATTCGATGTCAACATTGTCCTCTAAACAATTTTTTTTACCTCAGCAAGCAGATAATTGGAGTCAGACATGGGTGATAGGATGGGTGTGACGGCGACTTGAACTTCGGTTTATGCAGTTTTTGTGCTATGGTAGCAATCAACTTGTGACTCTGTGCTTTGTTTCTTCTGTAAATAAACGCGGTACCAGTTTGGAATGACGTTTCCAATAACTTTTAAGTAAAATAGTGAATATGCTCCCCTTTGATATCTTGAGGATGTCTGAAATTTTTGGAATTTTTTTGACGTCTTTTGATGTCGTCGTTCAATATCACCGAGGGCGGTGCCACCTTGTTTATAATTGGCAAACTGCTGATCAATTGTTCTATTCGGCGAAAATCAGTTGACATAACATTTGTCAAATCATCGCTGTTTTAATATTACCTTCTTCTCAGGGCTATTTCTTGGCTCGTAGCTTAATTTTGCAATGGTTGCTTCCAAGCCGAATCGAGCTTCGTATAATTTTGATAAACTTTTTTTTAGAAAATATTTTTCATGTACTGATCATTTTAGTCATAACGTTGCCAGCGAAGGCAACGGTCCAGTATATGACCGAATTTTATTTAATTTTAATCAGACTCATATGCATACGAAATGAGGATACGAATGAAAAAAAAGAAAAAAATTTTTGCATATGCACTGCTTGTAAATGATTGAGTACAGATGTAAAATGAAATAAATGATGTAAATAAAATAAATGAAAAGGGGTTGCGGTTGAAAATACTGCAGTGAAAATGATAAAAAAAAATCTGAAACAAGGAAAACGCTACTGTAACAGCGTTCGCATAAACAGTAAAGTAATAATATTTCATTTCATAAGAATTTTGTGTCCTAGTTGGAAAGCTCTTCTCCTTCTCTATTTTTTTTTTTTTTTTGTAACTCACTCTGGTACCTAGGTACATAACCAAAGAAACTAAACCAACCACAAACATTAATCATGGGTTTGAATATAAGCCGTTTTGTGTGCCCTGAGTTCCCATATGTGTTTGCGTTGGGTTGAACTGTGTTTAAATGTTAAATGTCGTGGTTTTCATAATTGCCTTATGTAAATCCGTATATATACATACATTGGTATATGGTTATGCTTTGATTTGTTTAAACAAAGTTCAACTTTTTTTTTTTTTTTTTTTTTGTTATTATTCTTTTTACTGAGCATTGTGTTAATTAAGTTTAAATATTTGTATTAACTGGCTTTGTATGTATATTTATCAATGTGTGTGTGTGTGTGTGTATGTGTGTTTCTATGAAATTAATTTACGACTGTCTGTAATTTCGCGTAGGTTTGTCTATTTATTTATGAAATGTTTATTCGAAAATTAAATTCAATACTTTGTTCGAAATACTTTCGGTATACGATTTAATTTATTTAATTTATTATTTCTTCTAAGATATTTAGTTATATTTTTAAATACATATCATCTTATTCGCCATTCATTTCGACATATATTCGCATATATTGTCACGCTTACATGTTTGCATTTCATGCAAATGCTTTAAATCCTTGAAAATTTATCGCTGCATTAGAAGGAATTAAGAAAGATTATGAAGTGGAGGAATTACACAGCTGGCGGTTAGCAATGCGACTGGTGAGGCAATTTAAATAATCTGATTCCTTTTAATTTTATAACAGACGATTAGTAATTCATGATTAATTGAAATTAAATCCAGATATGATTTCAAACATATTTAACGGTATTTGGTTTACTTTTCCTGAGCATACGGGCATGCAAACTTAGTCGCGTAAATCTGTCCGCAATCGCAAATTGAAAACACCTAATCAAAAATTCTTATTGTATATAATAATAATGACGATAATGATGATGATGATGATGACTATGATGATGAATAATAATTTCATTTCGATTCTCTTTTCCATTTACAATTCTATTCGTAATGATTGTGAGAGAACGGAAACGGAAATATATGTTCATTTGTGTGTATAGCTTGGATTTTTTGTTTCTCTTAATATTACTTTGGAAATTATTTCATCTAGCAATGATGATGGCGAGTGAATTGGTTATGGTTTCTTTTTTTTTTTTTCTTTTTTCCTTTTTGTTTCCATAACGGAAGCTAATAATGTTTCTAATGATGCTTTACGTTTATTTTTCTACTTATTATGTAGTAAGCGCTATTCTAGCAATGTATGTGTATTTTCAAATGCAAGCATAGTGGGCGAACAATTCGTGTAGTTGTTGCTTTTTATTGTGGACATGATTGTGCAGTTGCAATTGCAACAGGCTAATTTAGAATGATATGCATTTAAAACTTTGCTATGGCCTATCGGCCAACGGCACCGTCATGTACAACACCATTACCCTCATCACCACTGTCGACTTTACCATCAACACCATTATGTGCGAAATTTTTTCACCACTACTTATTGAAAGCGGCGATAGTAACGTCAGCAGCCATCTCATTGCCACAACAATATCATTCTAACTAAACATTGGCAATTGCAAATAACTGATCCGGTAACAATTCAATAAACGAAATGTTTGTTTTCCACTTGACTAAACTAAATGTATGTATGAAAATATAATGCTGTGTGCAATCCTATGCTTCCCCTTTATGTGTATTTATATGAAAACATAGTACATGCCATGCCGTTGCATATGTATGCAGTACACTGTGCTTGATGCACATTTTAAAGTAGAAATCCTCATTTAGATTTTTTATATATATTTTTTATATAATTGTACAGATATATACATATGTATGTATGGGTATCCGGCTATGTAAGAGTGTTGGTAACATAGCAGGAATCATAAGCAGGGAATGCTATAATATGGTGTTTTGAATTTATTGAAGCATAAATTCGTAGCATTGGTTATACGACATACTCGTTGCAGGAGTGGATAAATGACAGAGGGTGGGCAAGTCGTATAGCATATATACTATGTTGACCGATAGTGAACAGTAACATTGTACTGGTTCGTAGAATTGGTTTACATTCTTGCACACACTCATATGTATACATATATATATATAGAGGCATTTGTTTATAGCCTAACATTGCTGTAACTACCAGCAGCAATAACGTCAACTTGCTTGTGCTTTTGTGCCTTAGTATTGAGTGCACTTCTCGCACGTCGGCGACTCCTCGCCTATAGAGCTTTAACATATGAAGTACCAAAGAAACTAAGATACATTTTGATGGAGCATTTTATTATGGTTGTTTAGGCAGCAATTGTTTGAATGCATTTTAAGGACTTAAATTGGTTTAAATGCAAAAAGTGAACAACACAGGCAGCATTAAAGTTACCCATAAGCGACACAATAAAGATTATATTGAGAAGATTTTTATTCTTCATGTATTTAAGGAAGAATAATAATAATAAATCAAAATGGTTTTTAAAAAAGAAATCCATAAAAATGTGAGCACCTCTGCTTGATTTGTTATTCATATATTTATTTATTTATTGTTTTAAAGAACATGTGCATAGATTACAAGATATAAAGATAAACTCAGTGTACATAAACTATTCAAATATCCGTAACTTTTTTATATTTGTTCCTTCGTTCGAAGATGTCAGGGACATTCCTTAGATATGATATAAAATATACCCGCCCGTGACCAAATATTAAGATGCATTTCTCATAAAATTATGGAATTATTATTATTGTGGAATAGCAATAATTGAAATCTATGTATAGTTTGACGTCAATATATTCAATTAAGGTAGAGTTATACGCGTTTCTGTAAAGGTACAAAGAATACGCTGATAAACAGCGCCAAAAGGAACCATTCATTATAAACCTATTGTAAATGCACAAAAAAGGTTTTTGCAGATTTTAATTTCCCGAGTTTAAGTTAATGGAAATCAAAAGTTTGCTCTAAAGCGAATTGCTATTATATTAACATATTGCGGGTATAAAAAGAAGCGTCTATTTATTCCTAAGGAAGAATGCACTAATAGTATGCCGTAAAGCGTAACATCATGAGCTTTTATTAATTATAAAATAGTATCTTCAATCTTTACTGTAAGTCATTCCGTTAAAATGCGAGTAACATAGTTTTTTTGAGCAATATTCGAAGCACATGGAGAAAACCGAGATATAGGTCGAAAAAACTTATAAGATCAACGATGAAGCCAAATACAATTGACATCGTCATTGAAGGACAATCAATGGATTTAACTAATCGGCCATGCTGGAGTACTTTCCAAGGTTTCATTTTCTTTTTCAAAGAAATTTGATCATCTCTTCCTTGCACATTTTTGGCAGAGGTGCCGCGCTATATAGATACATTTTATGCTGAAGTTTAACATTTTCGTTTTTTTCTTTTTTTTTTTAAATTTTCTTTTAGATCCGTTAATTAAATTTGCAAGTTATACGTTTAAAACATTTTAAAGTTTGCTAAGCTAAATTACTAACTGTGTGTTTGTAACACATAGAATTACTTATCATCAAGATTTCGTAAAATCTCAAAATGCTTAATCAGGTCAAATATGAAATCGGTTCTCAGTATGAAAAGCAGTCGGACAATAATAGAAGTTGATTATGATTTTGTTTTCATCTTCTTTGATGATAAATTCATTAGAATCGAAGGAGAATGAAGGAATTTCTTTTTATGTCGCGTCTTTCAAATTATGTGATGATTTCGATGCCGAATTTGCTGTCGTGATAGACACGCTGTTTTAATGTGAAAAACGACACATTGATAATGAAAGTACATAGTTATTACAAGCAAAAACTCAACGGCCACATAAGCATGTGATGTGATTGATTTTGGCATAATTGCACGATTCCGCAACTTGAATGACTTTCGGACTTTTTTTTCGATAAAGTCTTCAAAAATGTGAAATGAACGTCAATTAGCTGAAAACAATGAAGGACTTCGTTGGAAAAAAGTAGATTAATTAAATGTTATATGATTTGTAAAGTTTTATCAAAAGGGTGCAGCACTCATTTACCTATTGTTATATATCGCTTATGTAAAACGCATTAGTACTTTATAATTTAATAATAATGTTATCTCTTGCATAAATTTCTCTATCATTTCATTGAAAATGTAAGATTAGCCAAGATACTGGAATAGCCAGCGTACTTTGAATTACTATAAATGGCTACAGGCAATTAGCCATCAATTGACGCGATAACAGTCTTCCATTATCTGAAATCAAATGACTAAGAGAACTTTTTTCTTACATGCAATGTCAATTATTTCATAGCACATAATTGAAGCGCAAATCATGTTGAATTATAATACAAGACGAAATTTGCATAACACACAAGCCGGTGATACTTAACATGCATACTTAACGACATACTCCAAAAGAGGGGAAAAATTATGCTAAGTTTACCTCTAGAAGCAATTTGCGCCCATTTGGAGTTGAGTTTTAGTTCGTATAACTTAAAAACTTCCAAAAGAGTTCTTATTAAAAAGAAACTCCTTTTCTCTTTATTAATACTAACTATTAAAATACTCCAAGTTACTGCATAACCAAACACATTATAATTGATTGAAATTTTAAACTTTATTTATATAAAACATATGTCCGGACGAAATGGGTATTAAATTTTCGCATAAAATAGATAGCATATTTTCGGACAATCATCCTGTCATCAATCATAGTTTTGAACAGAATAAAATTTTTCTTTTAAGCGAATATGTGAACCACAATTTCGGACAAAATACAATTCGAATAGTCGGAACAATATTTTAAATAAGATCTTCGAAAATAATGTAACCATTATTTCGAACAAAACATATTTTCAAAACAACGTTACTCACCACAGTTTTATACTAAGGTTAAAGAATATCTTCATCCAAAAGTATATCATATTTTCGATTGAAATATGAACTACAGGGTCGCGCAATATCTAAATCGTACGCTTGTATAAACTATGAACCAAAATCGCATCGGGCGAAACGTGAATTATATTTTCGGATAAAACCTAAAACAATCATTATCGGATCAAAATCGAAAAATCAAGCAACACATCACAATGTTCTTTATTTTTGGCTAATTCATACCCAATCCATATATTTTACTATATTGAAGATGTTTATTAAAGAAAATTAAATAAACTAAATTCATTTACATTTAAATATTCGCAACATTAGTCAAGGGTATATAAAGTTCGCCACAAAATCAACGAATTTTTTTCATTTTGGCTGTTCTCTTGGATTTTTTTTCTACTTCCTCTATAATAACTTGGCAATACGAGAAAAGTAAAAAAATCTATATGCATTGAACTTTAATATATTCTTTATAATAAATCATCATGTTATTGTTGCCGTTGTTGTTTATATCCAGGAAGCATAGAACATAGTTTGTGTACAGAAGGCAACTAAACAAAGCAAACGAAAGCAAACAAACAACTAACTAACCAACTAACGGACTAACCAACAGCAACTAGCATAGTCATGCATGCATTCATACATGTATGCATTTTCGACTTCCGTTATTGACTGCAAAATGAAATGCAACTTAAAAAAAGCAATGCAAACATACATGAATGCATTCATGCATGCACGCATATTATAGATACAGATAAAGTATATTGTTCAAATGCGATTGTATAGCTTTTACCGTTAAACCTAAACATGTGACTTATGAATGAATTATTTATAAATTTTTTTTTCAGATATACATGTGCGTCTATTTTTTAAAGTCATACTAACACCAAAACGTATTGAGTGCTCTTTCTATATATATGCACTATGCAGTAAAGTACCTAAGAGAGAATTTCTCAATGCTATAAAGAAGACAAGTTAAATTTCTGAATTGATCATTCGCGTTGTTAGTCGACATAATGTTTAGTTACCTAACTCTTAACTTAAACGTTTTTATTTTGTTTTAATTTGGTTTCCTCTTTAGAAATCTGTAGGTGTGTTTACAATTATATCCTTGACATTTTATTTCATATTTACTGCCACTTATATGTTATGTCTTAAAAGAAGAAATGATTAAAAGGTAAAACTCACCTGAAACTTCTTTCGGATATATCTTGTAATTCGTTGTCAATGAGCTTTAAAGTTTTCAATCTCAGACCCTGAAATGTCTCATCGTCTACACTCTGCAAATGGGTATTTGACATTTCAATGTAACGCACCGAACTGTGTATAAATTCTGGAAATAAAAATATGAAAAATGGAACTTTTATGGATTTGTCAATATATTGGTGTAAGCGTATAACAAAGAAAAAAATGCAAATATTCGACATCACTGTCTATCTACCTATTTATCTTCTGTTATTTATCGGGTAAATGATGACAGCCCTCGCAATAGAAACTTGACGGTTTCAAGGTAATGTACTCATATTCCGACGTCTTCAACTGTTGATCTTTTAAATGCGGCGACATCAATCAGAATAAGTGGTAACCAGAAGTCCAAAAACAAGATGAGTTTCTAGGTTGCTTCCGTTGCACGCGGTGGATTTCGTTATTTTCGAAACGAAAATTTTTTTTACACGAAATCTCACCAATCAATTTCGAAATGTTTCATAGATTACTGCATTTTTACTTCAAGCTTTTTTTTCGAATAGCTCATCTGTCCACATACAAAATTTCGAAAGAAATTAACGGACGACAATTAGGTTTTCGAAAGCAACGAACTTCGCTTCCCACTATTAGATAAGGTAATTGTGCATAATAGTCTTAAAACAATTTTAAAATATCAACCAAGATCCTAACCAAGTTATTGATTATATTATGCAATTTTTAAGATATTTTGAAGATTTTGTTTCTCAAGTATTCTTTCAATTATAAGAGTGGACTCTTGAAATCGATCCTTGAAAGAAATTTCACTCAATCTTAAATGTAAATTAGAAATTTTGGCAATGAATGAATATATGGCGAAGGGACTGGCACAACACAAGCATTATTTGGCTTATTTGGCCCACATTTACTTCCCTTCAACTATGTTCCGCGTTTTATATGGGATAAATGACAGGTCAGATTTACTTTCGTTATAAGATAAGAGATGAAATAAAAATATATTGTTTTCTTTTAGTTTTAATTGCAAATTTAAACAGACTATGTAGTTAGTCCCTAGTAATTTATTAACTTATTTATACTTTTATTTACTTCGTTGCTTACTTTTTTCATACGTCGAGTTAAAGCATTTTAAAGTTGTTAGGTCCGTTTCAATGGGAAACTTATTATAAGTCCAAGTGAAAGCGATTATCTATTGTAGCAGAAATTGTTTGCAATCTATATGCAATTATAAACTTTTCACTAACACTTAACTTTGAATTATGTTTAATTAAAACTGCCGTTTGGTTTTTTTTTTTTTTTTTTGTTTTTTTTTTTTTGTTTTTTTTTTTGCCATCATTCCCTCTATTAGAGACGGTATAAAACTTAATAAAAAAAAAAAAAGTTGCGTGCATTTAAGAGAGTTTTAAATCATATGCTTGTAACAAGATAAAATTAAAGAAAAAAAATTTTATTTTTATAGATATAAAAAGGTATTATGGAAAAATTTTCCATAGTCAGATAAGAGCTTGAGAAACTAAGACAATTAAGTGGTTTACCTAAAAGACTATTATTCCGGTAAGTTTTGCATTAAAAAATAATATAAATTCATTGAAAATTGCTTATCAAATTGTGTTTATTCTTCAAAGATTTGCTTGGTTAGCTGTTAGGTATATTGCTAGTCAAGTGGCTATTTTAAACAATATGCTACGACGGTGCTCTAATTGATTATTAACCTATGAAGTGAATAATGTTCATAAACTAATTAAGTAAGATTAGTGGCTAAAGCACACAATTCCCTTCTTAGCGAATTGTCGATACCCATCATTTCGAATTATAGTTTACAGCTTAGCAAGGTTTTGAGTGATAATTTGATGCTTTTACGCGAATTGTGCTATTACTCAACTGTGATATGCTTTGACACTTGGATTTTGACACTTTCCGAATTGCCCGATTGAATAGTGAAAACAAAGCTTGCTTACAATGACCAAGACTGTACGTACTATAAAGATCGTTCGATGTACACTTCTATGAAGTTTGATAATTTCAATATATCCCTCCTGATGGCTATAAAATATCAACTAACGAAGTTATAGTCAGTCTTCTTCACAACTTTCGAATCTTGCCCTTTCTACTTTTTATTGCCGACAGAAGTTAGAAATTTTCAATTTTCCTTAAATTTTCTACTTGGCTTTGAACGAATTGCGAAAAGCATTATGATATGTCTTGTAATAATAACTTGAAGTTCTCGCAACAAATCACAGGCAGATGGAATAGCTTTGCTTCGTCAACTCCCATGAGCTTGTCATGATGTTACACAAGAAACGACAAATTTAATATGAATTTGTTTTCACTGTTGTGTAAAACAGATGAAGAAGTCCATAATGAACCCATAAACTGTCAGTTATACTTGACATAAATCTGGGAAAATTGTGTACTTTGATATCTTTTGCAGAAATTATATTATTGTTGATCCCATTATTAGTGAATGCTTCTACATTATGAACACGAAAGTATGAATAATTGACTTGATTTTATATATTAAAGCTAAGAAGATAAAGCAAAAGTTTCTATCTCTGTTGCCATATTTAAAAGCTTATTTTATAAGTAAAAAAAAAAAAAGAGATTTTAGTAAGGCAGCATTTGTAGAAAAGTTCTTGAATATCTAGTGAAACATCACTTAAAAGAAAATTCAAATTTTAAACAAAAGTTTCTCAATTAATCAAGTTAGAAGCCATTTACAGTATTTCGCTCACCCATGCTTTGCGAGGTTTGGGATAGGATTCTACGCTACCTCTTCCATTGTATATTAATATTAATAGATTGAAGCTCATTGGCTTGCCTGTCCTTGAAATGTTGCGTGTAACCTTCGTCTCTAAGCTAATGAAATGAGATGTTTTTTCGCCGGCTTTATTAGAACTTATGAATATTCACCAATAAATGAATGTGAATATTCGCCAATAAAGTCTCAAGAGACTTTGTGCTCTTGCAGGTACCATAATGCCGAACCAATTATGAGTTAGTTGTTGAATCCATTTCGGGTAATGTGTAAAATGTTACTTGATCTGTCCGATTTGTCCGTGAATAAGGTTAAAAGCGTTATATTGCCTAACTAAATGCTAAACACTTTCGAGTCTTGTACAATACATGTCAATTGAATCAAAAATATTCCTTTGCATTTGAATTTGTTTCCCATTTGTCGCTATTAATAATGCATAAAGAAACACATATTCATTTATCAATATATATAATCCTGGATCTTAATCAAGGGCTTACTTAAATTCGAATGTATATTACATGTTCATCTTATGTTCATTTTTATTTACATATATATTTTTTCTACATTTTAAATTACATTGTAGCTTACATTCGGCTGACGGTTTGTTCCGTAGCCGAATTTAATTGATGAAATAAATAACTAAACACTTTACCGCGGCTTCGTTACAATACTTACAAAATTATGACACTAAATATAAGATATTGTCATTTAAATAAATAATAATCTTAAAAAAAAAAAAAACAAAAAAAAAAAATCACTACAAACGCTTTTGTTTCTGTTAATAAACATGAAGAAACAAGTTTTTTGTTTCTGGACAATAGGTTTGTTTTTGTGTTGGTACGACACCCTTACATTTCATGATTCAAGTTTGCATGAAAATTAGTCGATTTTCTAAGAGACTGAATTTTTACTAAAACTATTAGAAACAAACACACTTTCGTGATGCTTTGCCTCTCCCAAGTAGCCGACTATTGTTGAAAGCATTAACCAAAATTTGCAAAACATTTCCCGGAAAAGGAGAGCAACATAAAAATGTCACAATGAAGCTACGTATTGATAACTTGCTTGTAAAAGGATATACAAGCAAGCAAGCCAAAAATTCGCTATAGACAAAGGCAGTCGACTCAAAAGAGCCGAATCGTTCTATTCCAACGGACAAGACTAGAAGCAGCATTGTAAATATAATTTCTTGTAAATAATTCATGAACAAATCTCCTAAGATTTGTACGAGCCCAATCCCCAAAGGGGTTTGGATAAATGCGTAAAACCATCAGAAACTTTCAACGGTTCCGGTTCCGTTATTCATATTTTTTGTTCAATAAATTTTTACGAAAACCTATTTATGACTGTTTGGCTTGCAAAAATTTTCATTTTAGACTGAGACTGATTTTAAAATGATCTTCTCCGTCATGTAAACATGTTTTTTTTTTTTTTTCCTTTTACAATTAATAACAAATTTCCAAATAAAGTAAAAAAACATTAAAATAAACTTTTATTGAAAAATAAAAAATGTTTTCTTTAAATTTTCACTTTGTCTATTTACTAGAAAAGAGAGAGAGAGAGAGAGATGTAGGAAAAACTTTGATTTTCACAAGATTGAAACTGAAAACTTTTAATTGCTTTGTTTCAGTATTTTTCTCATGCTTATACTTTTTTTCTTCTTCAGTTATCGTATTCCTCCTCCATCTCATTTCACGGCAATATTCGATTAATTCGATTTTCTTTGTCATTTCTGCGACCGCTTTAATGCTATTTAATTTATTTAACACATCGAACGCAACTAAAGATTGACGATATTACGTGATGATGTGAGTGATGGAGAACAATAAAATGATACACCCTATTATATGAATTTAAGGTATTCTAAAGATCACACACAAATCATTCCTTTTTTAATCGATAAGTCATCAAATTGATTTCATTTCCAGGTTTCAAGTTGTTCACTACAATGTTTTCAAGATCTGGTTTTTACAGCCATCACTAAAGAAAGAGGCATACAAAATTTGAATTCTCGTCTGCGGCAATCATAATTAAGCATTAGCGCCCCAATCCCATAATCAACTTAGGATTATAATTTTATCCGTCCTTTCGTCCCTTGGTTGTCCGTCTTGTATTGATACATGCGCGGCGACAAAAAGAGAAGTTCGTTACTGAAACTTGAGTGATAGAGTACAAGTTTGATGGCGAATATCTATCAACTATCACGGCAATAAAAAAAAAATTTCATATCAAAATCTGAAACTAGTGTAGCATTTGGACCAAACATTAATAGCAATACCTAATACTTTCTACCTAATATTTCAATCCAAAAATTGCCTGCAACAGGCCAGACAATAGCTAAAAAAAAGTATTTATCTTTGGAGACATTGAATTTTGAG